TCGGGGTTAGCTTCAATGCCCCGTTGGCTAACCATAAAACCCAAGGACTTCCCAGATCCTATGCCGGAGGCACACTTCTTCGGATTCAGTTTCATCTAATATTTGCGTAAGGTTTCGAAGGTCTCTCGCAGGTCTGCCAAGTGATCGGAGGAGAGTGTACTCTTAACTAGCATGTCATCGACGTAGACTTTCATGTTCCGACCTATCTGGTGTTGAAAGATGGCATTAACTAGGCGTTGGTAAGTTGCTCCGGCATTGTTCAAGCCGAATGGCATAACACGATAGTGATAAGTTCCTTTGTCAGTGATGAAGGAGGTGTGTTCCTGGTCGGCCGGGTGCATCAGGATTTGATTGCAGCCGGAGAAGGCATCCATGAAGCTAAGCATCTGATGCTCGGCAGTTGCGTCGACTAGCAGATCTATCCGGGGGAGGGGATAACTATCGTTGAGGCAAGCCCGATTGAGGTCGGAATAGTCAACGTATAGTAGCCATTTACCATTATTTTTGCGGACCAAGACTACGTTGGACAACCACTTGGGGTAGTCCACGTTTTTGATGAATTGCGCCTTCATTAGTTTGTCCACCTCAAAGGCGATGAGGATATTGTGTTCCGGGTGAAAAATATGCTGCCTCTGTTGAAAAGGTTAGAAGTAGAGCTCATTACTAAGGTGATGAGTGATGACAGAGGGATCGATACCTAGCATCTCTGAGTGAGTCCAGGCAAAGACATCGTTGTGCTCGGCTAAGAGAGCTGTAAGATCGACCTTGGCCTGAGAGGATAGTTTGCTGCTAATCCTAGCTGTTTTGGCTGGATTGGTATGATCGATGGGCACTTTGACTAGTTCCTTTACTGGTTTCTTTCTAACTAACTCTTCCTCGTCTCTGACGTCGAGACCTTCAATGATCATAGCCTCCTTCATCTTGACCTCTTTTAGTGAGGCGACGTAGCATTCTCTGGCCATCGTCTGCTCGCCCTTCACGGTGCTGACCCCAAGGTTGGTCGGAAATTTCATGGCTAGATAGTATGTGGAGGTAACAGCTTGGAAAGTGTTGAGAGCCGTGCATCCGAGGATTATGTTATAAGCAGAAGGACAGTCGAAGACGAGGAAAGTGAGTAGCTTGGTGTCTGCTGTGGATATTCTCCGATAGTGATAGGAAGATCAATGGAGCCTATAGAGGTCACCTGATCGCCAGTGAAGTCGACTAGCAGGGTTTGGAGAGGGGACAACTTTTCTTCTCCGACCTTGAGTTAGCGATAGGCGTTCAGGAAGATGATGTCTGAAGAGATTCCGTTGTCAACAAGCACCCGTCTGACTTTGTAATTAGATAGGAGAGCGGAGATGACGAGGGGGTCGTTGTGGGGGTAACGAATCCCTGTACAGTCGGCCTTTGTAAAGGTGATGGGTTCAAACCATTGCTTTAGGTGTTTGAAGGGACGATCCAATGCCGTGACTTTTTTGTCCCAGCCTTGTCTGATTTTTTTGAGTTCGGCTCGCTAGGCTGAACGAGATGGCCCTCCGCATGCGAGCCCGCCAGCGATGACTCTGATCTTTCCAACCGGGGAGGCAGGATTGCCTTGTGCCCGGGGTTGTGGTGAGGACCAATCATTGTCTCGTTTAGGTTGTGTGGGTTATCGGGGGGTATGTCAGCGGTGGTCTTTTGGCAGGTTAGTCCTTGGTTGTTGCTGGGGACAAGCTGCTATGAACCGACTGAGGCGCCCTTGTTGTATCAAATGCTCTACCTAGTCTTTAAGGTTAACACATTCCTCAATGTTATGGTCGTGGTCCTGATAGAAATGGCAGTACTTGGATTGATCTCGTCAGTTGGAGGGAGACCGTGATGGTTAGGGCCATTTCAGGTTATAATCTCGTTGGATCTAGTTCAAGACTTGTTCCATGGGGGAATTGAGGGGGGTGTATCGATCGAATCAACCGGGCGGTCGGGTAGGGGCCAGTCGGTCGGCTTGAGCGAGTCGGTCAGTATATTGAGGGGTTTGCTGTGTATATTGGGAGGATCTGGTTTCAGATTCCTTTTTTTTCTCCTTAAGGGTTGGATTTTTAGGTGTAGTATCTTGGCGGGCTGCCAAAGAGTCTTCAGCATTCATATATTTTTGGGCTTTGGAAATGAGGGTGGCCATGGTGGTTGGAGGGTTTTTAGAAAGGGAGAAAATGAAATCGGATGGTCATAAACCGACCATGAAGGCTGTGAGGATGACCTTGTCGTCATTTTCTGCCACCTATAAGGCCTTGGTGTTGAAACGGGTGACAAAGCTACGTAGTGACTCCCCTTCCGTCTGTCGGATATTAAGGAGTTGAGTTGCTGGGCGCTGCTAGCGCTGAGCACCAATGAAATGGCTTAGGAAGGAATTACTTAGATGTTAGAAAGTAGAGACAAAGTTCGGCAGTAGTTGACTAAACCATAATCGAGCCGACCTCTTAAGCGTTATAGGGAAAGGTCGACACATGATCTCGTCAGGAAAAGCATGAAGGATCATGAGGGTCCTATAGTTCTCCAAATGGTCAACTGGATCCGTTGTGCCGTCGAAGGAGTCGATTGAGGGCATTTTGAACTTGGGGGGTAGGGTTTTGTCCCTGATGGAGGCGACAAAATAAGAGTTGGCTGTTGTGGAGGGTTTATTCTGTATGTTCTACATGACTCCTTGAAGCTGGAGTTTCATGGCTCAGAGTTCCTCATCCCAAATAGGAACATTATCTCCTCTAGAGTGCAGTGGGGGCTGAACACTACTAGCCTCTCCTTCAGGAGTAGGTGCTTGAATTGATGGATATAAACCCCGAGGTGGTGGGTTCATGTCTTGAAGTGGAGCTTGCAGACCCTCTAAGTTGGAGAGGTGGGCTTGTTGGAAAGGATGGCTCGGGGTCCGTTCTCGATTGGGAGGAATATCTTGTGGTGGTAGAGGAGGTATGGGGAGGTTTCGCTGGAGTAAAGTGTTGATCAAGGCCTGGTTTTGCTCGGGCAAGCCGTTGATGCTGTTGGTGAACTATGTGAAGTGTTGAGATGGGTTGTTTGGGTTGGTAAGGTCGGCTTGAGGGTTGACAACATTGTGTTGAAAAACCATGGATCTCGTTGTAACCATCCACCTCGATGGCAGGTGAGGAGAAATTATCTGGAACGAGTCTGCGGCAACAATGAGCATAATTGTTACCTGGAGTGGTGTTTCCACAGACGGCGCCAACTGATGATACTGCTGATCCCTTGAGGGGCGAGTCGGGTTGACCCACGCTTCCAACACCTTTCACCGGTCTCGGAGCTCGCTGGTGGTGTCTGCAAAAAGGTCCAACAGGGAATGGGAGTCCGTCAGCGGACCCTCCGACGATCAAGTTAGAAAATGAGAGATTTACTGTCTAGAGAGAGAGAGTGAGAGAGAGAGAAGAATGGAGAACTTAACTTTTGATGTGTTTTGGAAACCTCCTTATACCCTTTGTCCATCATTTCCTTATCTACTCTGACCTGTCGTGTTGGCTGAAAGTCTATACTCTAGCTTGCATTGTTTACGGTGAGGTTACCTGTTCCGACGTGAATGGGTTATCGCATTTAATGCTATGAGAGCCTCATTAATGGCTGATGTGTGGTGCAATAACTCTGCAGGATCTTTGTCTGCTTACATGGCTGGTTCCTTGCTTGACACGTATTTAGATGCCATTGGTTCCTAGTTCAACACTGGGTTCTCAAGGGTGTTGGACTTTAGTACTTGAATTATGAATTGAGCTCTAAGTGGTGGGCCAAAACTTTTTGTGGGCCCACCGATGTCAAAAGCCAACATTGTAACACATTTATGGTAAATTACAAATATACTTTTTGAAATTTGTTTAAAATATAAATTATTTCTTACAATTAGAGATGTAATCGGTTCGGTACGGTCGATATTTACGTAAAAAAATTCACCAAATCGATAATGTCGATTTTATTATTTTGAACACCAATACAGACAACTTCTTTTATCAAACAGCACCAGGCTGAACCGATTGAAACTGTTGGGTTCGGTGTGGTTTAATCAATTTAGAACCTTTCAAACTCGAATCACTTTTAAATATAATCACTAATCTATACAAAAATATTAAATTAGTTATTTGTTCACCATTTAAAACATATCCAATCCATCCATTTAATAAATACTTTTCAATTCCTAAATTATTAACCTTATCATCTTTATAACCTAAATTTATAAAGTCTTATTATATATAATCTTAACTCATCACTCTTGAAACCTTAGTAATTTTTAACTTTTTTTTTTGTAAGCGGTCAATTTTTATTTAGTTCAGTGCACAAGTTGCTTGAATTGATACCGAATCGAAAATCGAAAAAAAATAAATTTAAAAACTGCATAAACCAATTCTTATTAAAAAACAGACCAAATATAGCCAGTTTGGTCCAGTTCAATTGATTTGGTCGGTTTTTTGATTTTTTTTACATCCTTACTTATAGTCTTGAAAATTACAAATACTCTTGTATTAGTTTTTTTATTTAATAGAATTAACAAAAACTAAAATTTATAAATACTCTTTAATACAATAATAAAATTATATGAATTATTAATTAATTTGATAATTTATTAATAAAATAAATAATTTGTTATGCAATTAAAAATTTAAAAAGGTGAAATATAATTTTCAAAACTAAAATGGGCAATTCAAATTTTAAATAAAATTTAGTAGATAAACAATTTTGGATAAATTATACTTTGTCCCTTATGTTTGGTATTTTTTTCACTTTAACCCTTAAAGTGTATTTTTTCTCACTTGACACTGTATGTTTCAAGTTTTTTTCAATTTACTTTTAAAATTAATTTCTGTTCAAAATTAAACAAAAAAATGTTGTCGGCAATGTGTCATTTCTATCTAATTTTTAATAAAAATTAATTTTAGGAGTCAATTGAAAAAATTTGAAACGTGGAAGAGTAAAATGAAAAAAACACAAACTTCAAAAATAAAAATAAGAAAGTAAATATAAAAGGGCAAAAATATAAAGGGCCAAAGTGTAACGTACCCTTTAAAACATGTCCAACAAAACTGCACTAACCCGCACAGAACAGACACAGTCATCTGCTACTCTGCCTGCTTCTCTATCTAGCTCGCTGGAAGCTCGATCGATCATGGCGACAATTCGAATGATAGGCAAGTCAATTTAGGGTTTTCAATTTTTGTCATTTTCAACACTTGTATTATTAATCACCAAACCAAACATGATTAACAAACTTCTCTCTCTCTCTCTCTCTCTGGAGCAGACATAGCTGTGAACTTCACAGGTTGGTCAATTCAACAAACCCCTTTCTTACCCTAATGGTTTCCACACTCATGTTTTGATGAATTGTTTGTTGATTTTGCAAAATCAAACCCCCAAATGCAGATAACATGTTCAGAGGTATCTACAATGGCAAGCAATGCCACATACCTGATATTGCAGCAGTTTTGACTAGGGCTTGGAGTGCTGGTGTTGACCGAATCATCGTTGTTGCCTTTCAAAATCTGATCATTACTTCGGTCTTTTGTGCAGCTCGGTCATTATTCATTGGTTGTGCCTCTACCTTCTGATATTGCTCTGCCTTGCATTTTATATATATATATATATATATATTTTGGCTCGGTCCTACAGTTAGGTTTCTAACCCATCTGAAGAATATCTTGTTCGGTCCACCCAAATAAGCTGTTTGTGGATCAGTGTATTGACTATGACACTTGTACCGTTTCTTCCAATTTGAAAATTGTAGGAGCTCTTCCTTTCATAGGTTCACAGTGTAGCTCGGCTCTGACCCTACATGTACTTTCATCTGCCAAACAAACACGTGGCTATTAGGAATGGCAACGGGACAGGGCAGGGCGAGCCTGGGACCGCACTCCCCATCCCTGATCCCTAAAGCTACAAAATTCCCTGTCCCCGTTCCCGATCCCCGACGGGGAACCCATCACTCCCCCCGCCCCCGTCTCTAACGGGGACCGGGTTTCCCCAACCCTGGAAAATCCCCGCAGCTCTCTCCCTCTATGTTTAGCTTTCTCTCCCAATAATAAATTATCAACAACATCATTTTCATCAACAATAACATCATCAACGGCAACATCATAAAAAAGAAAAGAAAATGGAGACAGATAGAGACACACACGGCGACACACACACATGCATATATACATACACACATAAATGGCAGGATCTAATCTTCTCAGATTTGAGATGTGAGATGTAAAAAAAAGGGAATCGATCGTGGCAGGATCTGGTCAGATCTGCCCAGATCTATCATGGCGGAAATCGAAGCCAGAGTATGAAGGTTCGGCGGTGGCCCAGAGGAAGAGGCGATGGAAGAGGAGAAGGCAAGAGTGTACGTATTGTCGCGGAGGAGGAGACAACGCCGTCGCCATTGAGGAGAGAAGAATGAATGAGAGAGAGTCGCCGCCGACTGTGGAGAGAAGGGTGAGTGAGAGAGAGTTGTTGCCGATTGCGAAGAGAAGATAAAGTGAGAGAGAGTAGACAGAATAGAGAGAGAGAGAGAGAGAGATCAGAGGAGAAACATACATGGGGGCTTATATATATGTGTGTGTGTGAATAAATAGAAGGTATTATGGTAATTTTATTTCAGGGAGATATGGGGACGGGGACGGGTCGAGTCCAGGGCTGTGAAAGCTATCCTCGTCCCCGGTTCGAAACTAATCAGGGATTCAATTTTAAATACCATCCCTGGCCCATCGGGAGTATTTTTCGAGAAAAAACCACTCTTGTCGGGGACGAGGGAGCGGGTCCCCGTCGGGCCGAGTTCAAATTGCCATCCCTAGTGGCTATCTTGGACTGGCATTTTCTCTCTCTAAAACTTCAAATTTTGTTGACCCAGTAGCTTTTCTTCTTCTCTCAGGCATTTGATTTTCAGCTTCTCACTCTAGCAACTTCATTTCTACCGGAGCAAGTTTTGAAGACCCATATTTTCCGACGTTGCTGTCAGCTGGTGTAGTTAGTTGTCGTTGGCTTCTCACTGTTTACAACAAGCTTGGCTCCACACCATTGTCACTGCTGCGTGAGTTCGTACCGTTGATTTTCGACACTATTCATTTATTCCGATGGTGTTCTCAGTTGGTCTGCAACTTTCAACTAGCTTCTCTCGTTGTCATTGCTTCGATTTTGGCACCATGTCCCTTGTGGCAAGGTTGCCTCGCCATCGTTACTATTCTGAGATTCCGAAGCACCTCGTCCTCTTCCTATCTCCCATCTCCGATGATTAACGCCGTCAGTTTTGGGGTTTTCACTATCGAAGTTACTGCTGTTGCTATTATTGATTTTGACGTGACTGTGGTTGATCCGCGACCTTCATCAAGTTTTTTGTGTTGTCGTTGTTTTTATTTTAGCGTTGTGCGCGATCAACGATTTGATCGCCAACATCACACCTCATTGCTTCAAAACAACGTTGTGAGTCTTTGTAATATATATATATATATATATATATTTTCTGTTACCTTCAAGTAGTTGGTTGTAATTTGTTGATTTTGACTTTTGCTATAATAAAGTTGCTTGTGGTGCATGTAATTCCATGAACTCATACTTGTCCTTTTTAATCCTTGTTGTCTGTCATTGCTCAAATTTTTGACATTTATTGGAGGCTCTTTTTACTTTTGGTAAATTCCCACCTTTTCCTTCTATGCTCTGTTCTGAATTTGGATTTTGGTAACTCTGTTTGCTAGGTTGATATTTGCCATTACTCTTGTTGTACTGATGCAATTTCCATTTTGTCGTTTTTTTGTTAAAATTCTTGGTAGGTTTGGCTTCACACCGGTGCTTGTTTGACGCCCTGATTCTAGCGTTGTAAGTCCCTCATCCCATGTCTCTCCTTTAGGCTTTTGCTATGGTTGATTGTCACTTTTGTGGGTCATCCGATGATTTCTGGCCTCTGTTGGGTATTGCATATCTGGCATATGAGTTGTCCACCATTTAGTGCCATAAACCCAAAGACTTGAGGCAAACCATGAGTAAATTTAGTAGATTAGTCAATACTCCATCCAAACTAGCCCTTTTTCCATGAGAAGTACCATATTCCTGAAGATGTTACACTGGTGTTAGGAGGGTTAAACACACTTCGGTCACCGACTAACGATACTGTGCCTTTTCCTGTAGGAGCCATCGTAGAAGGGGGAGTTCGGTTCCCCTTGGACCCTTTGTGGCTCAAGTTCTTTCTTTACTTCAAACTCCACCCCATGGAGATATCCATGAATACTTTTAGGATTATAGGTCGTTTCGTAACCCTTAACGAATTGCTTGGCTTTAACTTAGGAGTATGGGACATATTCCATTGTTACAACTTCTCCCACCACCCGAGTGGCACCTTCTACCTTAGAGTTCGGTCCGATGTACCCTAAATGATCTTAGACCTTCCTAATGCCGATAAGCATTCGAAAGACTAAGATAAAACATGAAGTCTTTCGAATGCTTATCGGCATCAGGAAGGTCTAAGATCATTTGGGGTACATCGGATAGAACTCTAAGGTAGAAGGTGCCACTCGGGTGGTGGGAGAAGTTGTAACAATGGAGTATGTCCCATACTCCTAAGTTAAGGCCAAACAATTTGTTAAGGGCTACGAAGCCACCTATAATCCTAAAAGTATTCATGGATATCTCCATGGGGTGGAGTTTGAAGTAATGAAAGAACTTGAGCCACAAAGGGTCCAAGGGGAACCGAACTCCCCCTTCTACGATGACTCCTACAGGAAAAGGCATAGTATCGTCGGTCAGTGACCGAAGTGTGTTTAACCCTCCTAACACCAGTGTAACGTCTTCAGGAATATGGTACTTCTCACGGAAAAAGGGCTAGTTTGGATGGAGTGTTGACTAAACTCCTAAATTTACCTGTGGTTTGCCTCAAGTCTTTGGGTTTATGGCACTAAATGGTGGACAACTCATATGTCAAATATGCAATACCCAATAGAGGCCAGAAATCATCGGATGACCCACAAAAGTGACAATTAACAATAGCAAAAGCCTAAAGGAGAGACATGGGATTAGGGACTTACAACACTAGAATCAGGGCGTCAAACAAGCACTGGTGTGAAGCCAAACCTGCCAGGAATTTTAACAGAAAAACGAGAAAATGGAAATTGCATCGGTACACAGGAGTGATGGCAAATATCAACCTTGTAAATAGAGTTACCAAAATCCAAATTCAAAACAGAGCATAGAAGGAAAAAGTGGGAATTTGCCAAAAGTAAAGAGGGCCTCCAATAAATGTCAAAAATTTGTGCAATGGCAGACAACAAGGATTAAAAAGGGTATGTATGAGTTCATGGAATTACATGCACCACAAGCAACTTTCTTGAAGCAAAGACCAAAATCAAAGAACTTACTGTACCAATTTCAGCAAAATGACGACGCAAAAGGCAACAATAGCTTTGGTATCAAATCAAACCAGCCGTTGGTTTCAAATAAAGATAGCAGTGACAAAGGAAAATATGTTGGAAGTCACAATTTGATCGGAATATCACTGGAGCTAAAGGGTGAAACTAGAACGATGATCCATCAGCCACATAGTGGGCATTGAAGCATGGGAACAGGTATGACCTCAGTCGTCGGAAACAAGAGGCAGAGGGCCAAACCAGTAAAAATGGAGTTTACGATCAATAAAAACTCACCCGACAGTGGCAACAACAACGAGCCAAGCTTGTTGTAAATAGTGAGAAGCCAACGACAATTAGCCACACCGGCTGACAACAACGTCAGAAAAGATGGGTCTTCAAACCTTGCTCCAGTAGAAATGGAGTTGGTGAAGGGAGTTGCTGAAAATCAAATGATTGAGAGAAGAAGATTAGCTGCTGGGTCAACAAAATTTGAAGTTTTAGAAAGAGAAAGTGTAAAAGCAACTAGTACAAGGGCTAGCCCAGGTAGGTAGCCACGTATTTTTTTTGGCAGAAAATAGTCCAGTGAAATCAGAGCCGAGCTACTTTGTGTTAGACCGAGCTCCACCAATTTTCAAATTGTTTGGTTCGGCTGACCAAGCAACGGCCCAAGCGTCACACCTAGTAAATTGATACAGATAACTTCTTTAAGTGAGCCGAACAGGCACATGTTTCAAATGAGTTGAAAACCCAACTGTGGGCCCAGCAAGCACTCATGGTAATTGTTTATAAATTGAAGACCATGTTATATAGGGCCGAGCAAATGAAGAAGTGAGGAATTTGGTGGATTTTAGGACCCATCTAACTTCCCTATGCAAAATCAAACATTTGAATTAGCAACATTGAATTTACAAGTCAAAAAGTGGCAGCCAAGCTAAGCCTAATCAAAAGCTGTGAGTGGGCTGAGATGTTTATCCAGAGTGGGCCGAGATGTTTATCCAAAAATAAAAAATAAAAAAAAAACTGTAAGGCCGAGAATCATTCAAAAGCATGAAGGTCGGAGTTTTGAACAAATTGGCCGAGATACAATAATGGCTTCCACTCAATAAATTTCAGTGCAAGCCAGGGGCAAATGAAGGGGGCACAATTATTCAAGCCTATTTGTATGGAACCTAGCTAGGCTAAAACGAAGGTCGCTACTCCGAACTGGGCCCCCTCTTCCACTCTAAGATGGGCCGAGCTAAGGGTTCAGTCTTGGCTCATTCCCCACTTCGAAGTGGGAAAGGCCATGGGCCTAGCCCTAGCACCCATACCCACTCCGAAGTGCGTTAGTCCATAACTTGGGCTCCAATATTCTACTCCAGGACACTTGAGCTCTAACAGATCAACCAACGCCATATGAGTAAAAGGCGCGTGGTGCCCACAGATGATGGAACCGCTCAACAGAGTCTGTGCTCTCCTCCAATGAGGAGCAACCTAGCATAACCAATGAGTGCTAGGTGGTAGAGAGAGAAACTTGATGAGCAAGTTAAGCCTTCCCTATAAAGGTAACCTGACTTCCCTTTACAAGGGATCGATCTCTGGACACTCTATACACACTCGTCTTCTTTACCTTTCCTCTGCCAAACTCCGGTATTGATTCGACTGTCGGAGGGGTTTCCAACCAATCCCCGGTCGGGCAGCCTAACCATTTGTTCCTTGTGTAGGCCTTCACCCATCGGTGCACCAAGGTTTGTCTACGAAGTCCCATCTTACTCTATTGCGGAAACTAGTTCGCACAGGTCTGAAAGTGCAAGATTTTAAGTGAGTTTTTACATTTATCTCTGACTTTAACGGCATGTAGTGACGGAGTTAGATTGGACGACTAAATTGAAACACTTTTTATATTAGAGATCAAATTGACACAATTTAAATTTTAGGGACCAAAATAACACAAATAGCATTGTGTGGGGACTAAAAATGTAATCAACCCATAATTATTCATGACCTGATTAAACTAACAGGCTTTGTGTGATCACGGTAATTTTGATTTCTTTTCATTTTCCTCATTTTATTTTGCCACAAAAAATGTGAAATAATCGGAAAATTGGTAATCTTTGGGTTGGATTAATTCACCATTTGGTTCGTCCGAGATAGATTGTGTCACAGACTCAAGCACTGTAATTCAGTCTAGGTTTTATGTTGCAGGTCACTGGCGGGTCACTTGAGGAATCAAAGGAAGCTCTTGCTATTGCAGAAACAGATGGTCTGTCCAGAATTCCCTTTTTCCAAACTGGGTTTCATATCCTTACCACTCTTTATTCTTAGCTAATTGGGTTTCTTTTCTCTGATCATTGGGTTGGCTAATCATGGCAGTTTCTTATTCATGGCAGCAAGGCTTTTCTGTACCGTTGGTGTGCACCCAACAAGATGCAAAGTGCGTTTTTGTTACTTGAAAATCTATATTTGCTAACTTGTAAATGTATTGTACTATTACGTGTATAAATGAAAGTGTAGCTGTTATATTTGTAATTGTGGGTGCTATTTATTTAGGAATTTGATGAGAGTGGGGATCCAGAAAAGCATTTTCAGGAACTTTTGTCGCTGGCTAAAATGGGAGTAGAGAAAGGAAAGGTAATGCTGAATTGTCATCACAATGGTAAAACAAACAACATTTCAAATCTGGACCCTTTATAATAAAAGTTGTTAAAATTTTACTGCTTTGAATGGTTACTTTAAACTTACGTATCTTCTTTGTGATGGTCGAATTAAATAAACAAAAAATGTTTTGGGTGATGTGAATGTTTTCAAATTTTTTCTTTTGCTTGCTATAATTTTAGATTCAAATTATTTGGGAATATTATGGCTTCCAATATTTCTAGAATTTTGATATATGTGTAGTAGTGTTTGTGTGGGAGAATCCACTTTGACACGTTTTTATACTTTAAGCACTTTTGTATTTTCTATTACTGCCTTATTTCTGTTAATGCATTTTGGATTCCTGTTTTACGTGGAAAATTTCTAAGCAATTGCAATAATTGGGTTCATTGATATTTCTAGTATAGTAGATGCTATCACAAACACATTTTTGACATGAGTTTCTATGATCAAATGGCTTCTAAAGTAAATATTTACTTGGATGTTATGTGAAATAGCTTTTGTTCTTATTATCAAACACTTGCGCATGAATGAAACCCAAATGTCATTTTTTTGTTAAGGATTAAATGGTGTTATCATACACTTTTCAGCTTTGGGAGTTAACATCAGACATCAGCACTGTACTCGCATTTCTTGAATGATATTTTCTTATTACATCTTCTTGTCCTACAACCCATGTTGTTGAATGAACTCTGAAGTTCATATGACATGTGGATTTGTAAATAATGCTACTATATTTTGGTACTATGTTAAAGGTGTAAAACAATTGCATTTCATGGCTTCATTATATGATTTCTTTCTTTGATTTTTTGTTAGTGTTGTGCTCTAATAATTTATGCAAGGTTGTTGCAATTGGTGAATGTGGATTGGATTACGACAGGCTTCACTTTTGCTCACCTGATGTTCAAAAGAAGTATGTAATTGCTTGAGAAATCTTTTCCCTTTCCGGGGATGTCTTTTTTGAAGATCTTAGGCATATTTCTTCTTTATTCTTTTTATTTGCTACTTTATTTCATTTGAATGATTGTGCATTTCCATTTTAAATTCATGTTTTTAAACAAGGTATTTTGAGAAGCAGTTTGAATTAGCATATCTCATGAAGCTGCCAATGTTTCTGCACATGAGAGCAGCAACTAAAGATTTCTGTGACATTGTTGAGCGTAACAAGGACAGGTGACATTTCTGGGCCCCATAAATTGAAAACTCTCTGCATTTGCCAAATAATTAAAAATCTTGTAATCAGTGAACATCACTTTGTTCTGATATAAGGATGCATGCCAGGCGACTCACTCTGATTTTGTGGTTCTTCTGGGGTTCATCACCTTAAATTTATCTCACTCAGGAGTTTGGGCTTACATTCCACAGCAAGAAAAACTAATTTAGACCAAATTCATATGAGATAGAAGACTAGCCTAACATTTGGGAGGAATCATCATTCCTTCAAGAAGGCTAAAAGCCCTGAAGTTTTTCTCGTTGTAATTTCCTCGGCCCCTAGAAAAGGGGGCACAGAAAATTTAGAAAAGACGATACTACTGTTTCTGGAGAAAGCTCACTTAAGTGATAAGTTGTGCAAAGTGAACCTTATATGTCACAAAAAGACTGTTACACATGCTAGGCAGAAGTTTACTGACATCCACAACTAATTCTGGATTTCACTTCATGATTGTGCACACACACACACACAAAGGGAATCCTAAACACTATCCTGCGAAATTAGCATATTGGGAATTTGCTTGGATCAATTCGAGTGATCACTTACTCTAATACCATGTAGTGAAAGATGGTACAAAAGACAAAGTTAGGAAAAGATATTAGCGAAAACATAAAGCCAAATAGGGGGAAATCGAAATGGGTTCTGTTTGAAGATTTAAAGTTCTTTTCTGAAAATTTTGTTGACCTACAAATAAAAAGTAATAAATAACAATGTTTTGTAGTAGTAATGTAAGAGAACCAATGCACAAATAGTCAACTCTTAATAATTGCATAAACCAGGTTTTATGATTCCATTTCTCCCCTACTATTGTTTTCCTTCCAGTAAATTTGTTTTTGAAGGAAGGCTCAGCAATGACACTCAGAATTTTCCGTTCAGCTGTTTTGCATGATGAATTTGTTCCATGTTGATGTGGAGCAACTTGGGCAATTTTTTATTGTTGTCTGACAGGTTCAGTGCTGGGGTTGCCCATTCATTCACTGGTTCTGCAGAAGATCGCAACAAGCTTCTCTCATTCAGTAATCTTTACATAGGTGGGTGCACTCCTGTTTGTCATAACCTTGATTTTGAGCTGTTCCCAATTACTGTCTTGTAGCTTTATACTGCTCTATTCCTTTTATTTTGAGGTATCCAATGAATCTTGATAATTTATTATTATTATTTTCTTTTCTTTGGTAATAAATAGGTGTGAATGGTTGCTCTCTGAAGACTGCTGAAAACCTTGACGTTGTAAAGGGCATTCCTTTTGAGAGAATGATGATTGAGACAGATTCTCCATATTGTGAAATCAAGAACACTCATGCCGGTGTTAATTTTGTTAAATCATCATGGCCTTCTAAGAAGAGAGAAAAGTATGATCAGGAGTCCATTGTTAAAGGTCGCAATGAACCTTGTTTAGTTCGGTGAGTAAAAATGTTTTCATAGAGCTACACCATACTTGTTCTTTTCTCATCTACTCTTTCAGCCAAGGTTGTTAAAATTGGGATTCTAGGTAGGATCGTTCGGGACTCATGGATCGGATCGTAGAATTAGATTGAGGATGGTGAGATCCTACTTTAATGCAAAATAGGATAAAAAAATTATCGATAATGATAATCTTTGCTACATAATTTTAAAAAGATTAAAGAAAATTAGTAAATTTGATATAATGTGTATTCTATGTTAACATTAATTAGAGGAGACATTTGAAAAATGAGTTTATAGTAAATTTTTTTATATAGATATACACACACACATATATATATACACACATATATATAAGAAATAAATAATAACAAAAGAACATTGGTAGGATTGGGAGATCGTAGTAGAATCGGGATCGTATGCGATTTTACATAATTTTATGACTAGGATCATAATTGCTTTAAGATCCTACTAAATTTAAAATCCTAATCTAATCCGGATCGTTTGGCCCAACTAAGGTCGTAGAATCGTAAGATACTTAGATCCAGATTGGGATTCTGATAACCATACTTTCAGCCACATCTGTCTGTAAATGTTGATTGAGCTCTCATAATGTGGATTTTTTTAAATTCAACATCTGCTTTATCTTACATTTGTGTATGTCATGCAGGTTATGTTTTGATCTAGTTTTATAAACTAATCTTACTATTTATTTTAAAATCATATAAAGCTCTTCACTCTTTACTCTTCTAAACTAAGCAAACATTTTGTGTTTGGAAAAAAAACATGAGAACTGGATTCACTTTGTGGAGAGTTATTTTCAGATAGAGTTTAAGAAGCCTTCTGTTTGTTGTTTATCTTGTTATTATATATCTATATAATAAATCAGGAGGGTTTTTGAAAATGTTTCAAAATGTCTAAGAGATACATTTTGTTTCAAGGGTTGAAATTAATTCCCAAATTCATCCTAGGGTCAAGATTTCTTTAATTCCCACTCACCCACCTTCTTTTCCCCATCACTCATGCATTCTCTCTCTCTCTCTCTCCTGCTCACCTTCCTTCCTCTTACCTTTTTATTTTTTTATTTTCCCCCCTTTTTATTTCCCTCCCTATTTCTTTATTTTATTTTTTCCCTTTTTGCTCACTTATTTTATTTACACAGGCATACACTAGTATATATATTCTAAATTTAAATGGCAATAAGCATTCTGTTTGTTTCTCAATATTGATATATACATAGATATATATTTTTATTTCTTGATTTTGAGGTATATCGTATCTAAACCTTTATGCGAGCAGAACTTGTGTTGACAATTTGAAATGAGTATTGAAGAATTCCGTGCAGACTTTGCAGTCAATTAATGGGGAGAGTGAAAAGATTTATTGTTGGCTATAAATTCTTAGAAGGCCTCAGCAAACCAAGATTTATCTTATTTGTTGTCATGTTTTTTCTGCAATAACAATTCACACTTCTATCCCTTAAACCCAACTTTGTCGACACGATACAGGCAGAGTTTCCTTTTTGGTTTTCCTTCCCCAGTAATAGTGACAAAATTTCTAATTCTAGAACTTGTCGTGGAATAATAACAAATTGATGCTTGATTGTAGGAGGGTTTCTTTGCTAATCAAGAATTATCTAATATCAACTGTAGATACTAATAAAAAAGTTGTCAACACTGGTAGATGTTCTACCTTTCTGGAGTAGATACTTGGAAATAGCATTGTTCTTTCTATATTTTTACTTTATGGTTGTGGAAAAGCTTGCATTTGTTGGTTATTGTTTTTGGTCCCTGTCAATTCTGCTTTTCTGCTGACACAAACTTGATTCGCATTTCTATTATTTTATTTTGACATAAATTTCCCTTGACGAGTTTGCTAAAGAATTTTATTATATTTTTCAATTTGGAAATACTACATTTATATAAGTCTTGGGATCTGTTGCAATGTAAACCTTGTTTGTTGAAAATGATTATATATGACTATTATTGTTTATATGATCTTATTGTATCCACAATTTCTGAATCCACTAGTTCATCCTTGTGATGCTATTAGTTAAATGAAGACATTCACGTTTAATGTTTTTGCATATGATTTTCATCTTGAGATTTCATCCCCCCTGAATGGAAGGTAGTTCGGGTTAAAAATTGGCATTATGGAGTTTGATTGCCTGTACGTTTGTTTATTTAATTAAATGATACAACCATCGTCTCCAGGCAAGTTCTTGAGGTGGTTGCTGGCTGTAAAGGTATCGCTGACATTGATCAGCTGAGCAAGATCTTGTATCACAACACCTGCAGGTACTTCATTGCGTTGTTTCAAGTTCTTTTGTATTCATTTGACTAATTCAGCTTTTAAAATAAGTAATCAATAAAATGGCTTACAACTTGATTTTTGTTACTTTTATTTGGGTGATTTATGATTCTTGTCTCTAAGAAATATATTAAAAAGAAAATCAAGAACATTAGAATATAATCTTAGTTTGATATTATTTTCTGGATGATACATTGTGATGCAGGGTTTTCTTCCCTCATGACTTGGATTCTGCAGCAGATGCTCTTCTTTCTGGAAGCCACGGTACCGAGTGAAAGCATTCATGTCACACGCCCTTTTCATCTATGGCCTAATTTCCTTCTCTCGTTTCTACTGAGGAAGAAATGACTTCTATTTATTTTTTCTTCTAAAAGTGTTAGTGTTGAAATTGAATTTTTTGGGTGGAAAATGTACAAGAATTAGATGTACTTGTATGGTAAATTGCTTCTATTGGATATGAAATTTAAGCCAGTTTTGGAAATCAAAATTGTTGGGAGTGCATTTTTGAGGAAAATGGTTATGTAATTTATATGCATATCTTGCTAATTAAATGACCTGTAAATACTAGATACTAGCTTTTCATTTTACTCAGGCATCGTTTATTTGTTCATACCTTGATGATTATATATATATATATATTGGGTACATTGGAGGTTATAGCTTGGGAAAGGGGCAGCATGTTTATGCTGCTTTATGTTCGCCGTACTGCCAATCAAAGTTGCATGGATATATATATATATATATATATATTGGGTACATTGGAGGTTATAGCTTGGGAAAGGGGCAGCATATTTATGCTGCTTTATGTTTGCCGTACTGCCAATCAAAGTTGCATGGAAGATGCAACAAAGTATTAACCTTTTTTTTGGCTGGTTTTATTTGATGAAATGAAATTGAAAATTTCAAAGAATGTTTCATTTGGGAGTTTTAGGTATAATTTGTCTCCAGAACATGCTGTCAAATTGCAGTTGCTGCAGTTAAATCTTGCTTAAAACCGACACTCCAAAAAAAAAAAAAAATTATTAATCCGAATAATAAGTTATTCAAATTTTATTTGAAAACTAAACAAACTTTAAAAAGTTAAACACAAGTCAAGTTCAAGTAGCTTGATCCATCTTCCGGTCCTAGCTATTACCTAAGAAAACTATTACCTAAGACAACTGTTGTTTTTAGAACAAATTGGATGTACAAATTGTTTATAGGCCATATGTAAGCTGTGTGTGTGGGTGAAACACACACGTGTGCCCATATGTGTACAGAAGCACACTCTTCTTTTTCCCCCAAACCAGAAAGACAAGCTAAAACAAAATAAAATATGAAAATCTTTTATTTGGTAAGATATAAATTTCAAGTTCATTGACCATTCTTTCTACATTTTCAGAATGCAGATATTAACTTACGTTGCAATACCAACAAAGTCTAGATATCCTAATACTTCAGAATACTTTTCTCAATAATGATACAAGTCCTCATCTGAAGTTTTGAACATTTTGAAATTGAGAACACATCAACAAATTGCAATTACAATCAATTTTCATATAGCCCAGAATAATTACATCTGAAACTTGTAAATCGAAGTAAGAAGCTCCAATTAATAATGTCATTGGTTAGACATCATTTGTGCTCGCTCTCCATATACCAATTAGAATCCTGCGGATGAACAACGATAATGAAAGAGTTAAAAGTAGTGGAAGCTGAACGTCGTGGAACACCAATTTAGTTTGCATCTTCGCAACTCTCTATTATCATCTGAAACACCTAATCCGTCTTTCTCCTTTCCTTGTTAGTTGCCCAGGCTAGAAAGCATTTCCCTGCTGCCAAAATTGTCCTCTGAATTTCTGGAGTCTGCTGGTGGAGAAGTAGGAGCTCTTTCCTCGGCCAGATTCAACCGCAATGGCCGGCCTTCCACCTCCTAATTAAATATTTACATATTATCAACAAAACTATCACTAGAAACTTACAAATGTGTTTATGCTCCGTTTGTTTGGAAATAAAACATTTTCTAGAAAATATTTTTCGCATTTTCTGACATTTGGTACAATAGAAAACAATGTTCAACGGAAAAAAGCTTATTTGGACAGAAAATATTTCCTGGACAAAAGTCCTACTAATGGCACCATTTTAACACCGCCACCACCACCACCACAACCTCCACTCCATTGACGCTACCATCACCGTCACCACCGCCACTAATACAACTATTAGTACATAAGTTTCAAAGACAACCAATCATAGGAAACGTTTTATCTGAAAAACATTTTCTAGGAAAAACTTTACCGTATACAATGTTCTGTGGAAAAAAGTTTTTTGCTGATACAAACGGAGCATTGATTACTATTTCCAAGACATTCTTACCACTCCATTCATAGCACTGAGGGCAGATTCCACCTCCTCAGCAGATGAAAAAGTGATAAATCCAAAACCTCGAGATCTTCCGGTGTCCCTGTCATAGATGACCTTGGCACTTAATAGACCTGGGTGACCTGCAAAAGCTTCTTTAAGCCCCTGGGAACTGAGATTCCAGCTGAGGTTTCCTGCATAGATCTTGTGTGGGGTGTCTACAAAGCTTTGGTAGCTGCTTCGTATCCTAGGTCCCATCACTTCCCTTTCGCCTCCTCTTGGCACTTCTGGGAAGTTTACCTTCACAGTTCGGCCTCCAACTAGCTGTAACCATTGCCACCATTACCAATCACAAAAAGAACATAAATGCAGTTAGCTGCAAGGATTTAAGGCCATACTAGAGATGATAAAATAAAGTCATCGTTTCAGACTAGTGTCACTTATAGAAGTAAAAGTAGCTTCAAGTCAATTTTCTAACCAACCCTAATGATGAGGACTAATTTTGTAACATTTAAAAAAAAAAAGATAGAAGTTTCATTATTGTAAGTTTAAGTTAAAACTTCAGTGTGTAGAACAATGTTTTTGATAGGTAGTTTAAGGAGAATCAAGCTTAAGTCTCTTTATTGGAGGAATGATACTGGTGAATGATGTTGCAACCATACTCAATATGGTTTGAAATTTGAATGCATATATCTTCTGGATTAAAAGTTTGATATAACTAGAATTTGGCATGGTTGCAATCCATTAATATAGCATGAAACTCATTGTACTGCTTGAAACCAATAAATATGGTTATTATTTATTTATTTGTTTTGAAGGACTACTAAATTATTTAGACCCTTTTAACAATTATTTGAACACATTAACAAAATTTAATTGTAAAATAAATATGGTCTTTTAACAAATGTTCTAATCTAATCCTATAAATAACTATATATATGACTATACCTTTCTTATCTTTTCTTATTTTTCTATTTTATTTTGTAACTAAATAATATAAAATTAAAATTCAGATTTTATAAATGGGTAGGTCAGGCTAAAACTCCTTATCTCAAGCCCCACCTGAAAATTAAATGGGCTCAAAATCTCAGTACAGCCAGGGCCAGGCCCGTCCCTATGAGCATAGTTGTCAAATCGGGATTCAAATAGTGAATCGAAATGGCCTCATACCAAATCGCGAATCATAAAGATTTGGTCACTTTTTCTAAATTAGTTGGAAAAATATATCTACACGTTTGGATGTTAAATATATCTTATGAATATGAAATATTTAGACTTAAATCAATGAAAATGTTGTTTTGAATGATAATCATGTGATTTATAGGTAAGAAATTAACGAAGGTTCTTATGTAAGTTCATCATCTTACCTTTTTCCTTTTATAGATATTTCTTATCAACGATTCTTGAAAGACGGTAAACAAAGACAAACTCTCAATTTTGAAAGTAACAATAATTTGACAATGATATTAATATTTGGACAATAAGCATACATACTTATTCCAAAAAACAATGACCAAATAATAAGAAAGTATTATTTAGGATCCTTTATTTTTAAAGTCTAAAACATTTTAAAATATATATCTGACCTTCCCCATGTAATATGCAACTATATTTAATTTAATAAAATAACAATAAATAATTCAAAGTAAGTTACTTTCTTAAACATCTTTAGAAGATATATTATGATTATTTAAAGAGAAAAAAATAAGAATAAAGGTTAAAAGCATGTTGGGTCTAACTGAATCTGATTGGATCCTATTAAAAACTCCATGATCACTAAAATAATAACAAATCACGTACATATATTGGATATTTTGGTACTAAACGATATTAAAAGTTGTATTATGTCATTTTCAATAAAAAGATAGAGAAAGAAAAAGTAAAAAATATGTCGGACTCGATAGTTTCAATAATTGCATGAATCATCAAAAGTGAATCGAATCATGAATCGATTGTGAATCGTGTGATTCACTAGAGATTCACTTTCAAAATAAATTCACCCATAGATTCGTATCGATTTTGCAAAAATTACAAATCGAATCGTGAATCGAATCGCGAATCGTAAGATTCTGATAACAGAGCCTATGAGTTAAATATTTTTCTAAGCCCTAAAAATGTCAGGCTGGTTTGGGCAGGTTGGGTGGACCATCGGGCCATGGCCACCCCTGTGCAGTGAACGTAAATTAATTCACGCACTTTCCGCCTAGACAGTCTTTTAGTTATGTTCAAGAGCTCCTCAATGATAATGCTTGCTTAGTATTAAGGCCTTGCAAAGCCTGCAGATTTACTTACCACCAGAAATCAATCATGCATGCCAAATCTTTCTTGATGAAATAAAGTTATGGTGCTAATTAAAACATTACATTATCCAGATTTAGTTGGATATTAGTGAAATCTCATAATTTTATGGAAGGATGTAAGAATTAGGGAGCACTTAGGGTTCAATCTGCTGCATTTTACTCTACAGTTAAAATTTATGTTTCAGAACTTCAGATTAATCAAGTGTCCTGGCTGTCAAATTCATCTTCTTCTTTTTCAGTAATCATTTGAGCTAATTATCTACAATCCCCAATTTACAATCCACTGTTCTATTTTCAAAGATTTATACTGGTATATACCAACTCATGCTAATGGATTACAGGAATTTTAGCTGTCGAAATTTGTTCAAAAGGGCTCCCAAACACTGCATAATCAGTTCCCATATCAAGCTCTCATTCATTCATTCATTCATTCATCTGCCTTTCTTTATTTCATCATTTCACTAGGGCTTAAAATAAGTGAGTCAAGCCGACCAAATTTAAAATTACCTTCAAGCTTGACTTGTTTAAGTAACGAGTAAATTTTGAACAAACTTTTAATGAGCCAAACACGAGTTGAGCTCGAGTAGTTTGGTTTTTTTTGTAGTGCATATAAGCTTATTGAGCAGGGTAGTAGGTTGTTCAAGCTTGGCTTGAAAACCTACGGAGGTTAAAATTGTGTTAAAATTGCATACGTAACGAGTCGATATCGAATGAGATTTTGACGAGCCAAACAGGAATCAAGCTCGAGTAGTTTGGTTCGTTTAGTAATTTCAGCAAACAACTGGCAGGCATTCAAGTATGTGAATCAATAATACAAGAAAATGTGAATAAAAATGGGAACTTACTGATCCATCAAACATCACAATTGCTTGTTTTGCTTCTTCAACACTACCCATTGTCACAAACGCAAACCCTCGACTCCTATCTGTGACTCTATCATAAACAATCTGCAACAACAACAACCAAATTGAATTAAAAGATCCAGAATTAAAATCACCACAAATTCCAGACCCAAAGCTCAATTCAAAGCACAAACCTCCACAGAAGCCACACGACCTGCCTCGCCAAACACTTGAGCCAATTCGGAAGAAGTCATAGCATAAGGCAAATTACCCACATAGAGCCTAGCAGCTTCAGCTGATTGTGTCTCAGTTTGCTCATCATCTTCTTCTTGTTCTGTCTCGGATTCTGTTTCTGTTTCTGATAGTTCTGTGCTCTGCTCGCCGAGGTTGTCGAAGGCGGCCGGAGCTCGGAAGAGAAGGGAGCGAGAGAGGAGAGAGAAAGGAGGGGTGTAATGGGGTTTGAGTTTGAAGGGTTTAATGGGTTTTGGTTTGGGGGTGAAGTGGGTAGTGGGGATTGAAGTGAGAGAGGAGTAGTAGTCAGAGGGAAGATGGGGGAGTTTGTTGCATAAAGGGATTGAAGTTGAAGAAGTAGCAGCCATGGAGACACTCATGGGGAAGAGGAAGCTAGACTCCTACTTCTACTATAGAGAGAGTGAGAGAGAGAGAGAGAGAGAACTGGAAATTGATCAGATAAGAGATAAGGCTTGTCCTTGTAGAAGGGAAGGGAGCATTCATAGTAGTTAAAGTGCTGAATTTTCTTTTTTAACCACTTTTTAATAAGTAAAAAATTAGAGATTTATTATTATTATTTTTTTTCAAAATTACAAGAAGAAATGAAAAGTTTGAAAAATAATTGCAAACAGGGGAGCTGGAAATACGCTTAAAAAATAGTCTTGTGTTGTAGTGTAACTGGTCATGGAGAAGACACTTAGGTATTAATATGAGATAGGTGTTAATATGAGATTTCAAATTCAAGTCTATAGGGAGAGATTAATCTGCGTTATAATCTAATTACTAGCATAGTAACGCTATCTTTATAGGAAAAAAAAAATATTGTTGGAAATTTCGTTTCTTTGACCACCTCATTTTTTAATTTAAATTATGTTATATTCCTTTGAACACTTCAATTAATTCTCAATTAATTCTAATCATAGCTCCATCTCTGTATTTTAAACCTTAATCTTGCCCCAACCATAGTCACCACATCCTTCACCTTTAGCAACTACCACGACCATCTCTCCAACTATTCGCCTCCCCTATGCCACTACCTAGGCCTTCACCACCACTTTGCAATTGCCCCGCTACATATCCTCAATCCCCTTCTTACCTTTACGCCCTCTCCTGTGTCTCTGCTTTTCTTATTCTCTTTGGCAACCAATGTCCACACCTCCTGCCCTCCTAAGTTGTTTGAAATTCTATGATTGAACAAGTAGTGATTGTCAGATTATGTAGCGCTGAACACAAGGTGATTTTTTGGTTATTAATAGCCAAACATGAGGAACATATTCAACCATGTAATGTTAAATGGAAGGCAACATGCGAGTAGGGGGAGTTGGTGTGAGTGGATAGAGAGAGATGATGGATGAGACAGTGGCTAGGGTTTTGAATGAAGATGAAGGGGTTAGGGGGCTGCAGTGAAGCTACAAGGCATGGAGTGGTGTATGGAAAAGGGGATGAGGTGAGAAAGGGGGTGGCATGGTGGATGGGCGAATGGAGGGGCAGATAACGGTAAGGGGTTGAGGTAGCGATTTTTTGATTTCTCTATTCTTTTGCAATTTTTTTTTTCTTCTTGCCATTTCTTTTCAATTTTCTCTTTTAATAAATCCTATATAATATAATAATACCTCTTATTCTTTATTTATATATATTTCTTGAAATATTCATATTCATATTCATATTCTATTCATTTGGAACTTGGGAGGGAGAGAGAGAATGAAAATTTTTTTATTGTTAAGAAACCAAAGCATCCTAGTTAAATTATGGAACCTATTGGGACATTCAAATAGGAACCCTTCGGGGAAGATACCTGAGTCAATTTTTTGGGCCAAGACTCCCCAAAATAGCTAAAAAACAAGTTTAGAAGCTATCGGAGTTGCTCTTATGCAAGACATGTTAGGCACATAACAACTATTTCCATTTTTTTTTTGTGTGCACCAAATTTAGAGTAAAAAGTGAGATTTGTATATTTGATCATCACTTTTTAATTAATTTATTAAGCTGAATAAATAAGTCAACTTATATTAATTTAATTCATTACTCATTTCCCATTCAAATTTCTAAGCTTTATTATATACTTCATAGTGAAAATGTGTAGGAACATCAAAAAGAGCAAAATTGATAAGCAAGTGTGTTCCATGTATTTAAAATACTTTTGAATTACTCATATTTTGAATTAAAATTATTTATTTTGATATAGTTGTTGGTAGTTTTTAAAAATCATTTATTTATTTTATTGAATTTATATAAATAAAAAATAAAATACATAAGTGCCATTTTTGTGAGGACAAAAAAATAAATATAAAGAAGATGATATCTTATTAAATTTGATATGATAAATAATCCATTTTTTAAGTGTGTGTTTTTTGTGCATACTTAATTTTAGAGATTGTATGACAGATAAGAGAGACTACTAAAATTGCTTTTAGATTGCATTGTTAGATAATGATTTTATAAAATAATACTTTTTTGGTCAACTTTGATCCAAAATTAATATGAATTTCACACATCTATTTTAATTTGTTCAAAATCATTAAAGAGTGAATGAAAAATTGACTTCAAAGACCACCCTACTTTGAACATTAGTAATTGATTGAAGAAATAGTACCTAGCTTAGAAAATTTGGTGGGTTTATATGTATTAAATTTAGACTTAGGGTTAGGCCCTAGGCACCTAGTTTTGTAAGGGGCAATGACTTAAATAACATTGGGCTAGACCATTCATAGGTGTTGTCACCCTAAGTTGGGTTGGGTTTGGGTGTGGATTGTCTTTGTATATACATATTTTTTGGAGAACATTATTTTAAATTATTATTATTTTTCAAAAATGTTGTCACTGTCTTTGTATATACATATTTTTTTGGCGAACATTATTTTAAATTATTATTATTATTCAAAAATGTTGTCACTGTCTTTGTATATACATATTTTTTTGGCGAACATTATTTTAAAGTATTATTATTATTTTCCAAAAATGTTGTCATTTCTGTTATAGTTTTTCTTGAATAGAGCTGTCTGTAGCTCGGTCATTTATTTGGTAGAAAATTTGATGTCCCTAGCATTACCCATGACTTAAATAACATTGGGCTAGACCATTCATAGGTGTTGTCACCCTAAGTTGGGTTGGGTTGGGTTTGGGTGTGGATTGTCTTTGCATATACATATTTTTTGGAGAACATTATTTTAAATTATTATTATTAGTTTTCAAAAATGTTGTCACTGCCTTTGTATATACATATTTTTTTGGCGAGCATTATTTTAAATTATTATTATTATTTTCCAAAAATGTTGTCATTTCTGTTATAGTTTTTCTTGAATAGAGCTGTCTGTAGCTCGGCATCTTTTTGCTCTGAACAGATGCCATTGATGTTTTGTAGCTGTTTCAAACAGGCAACATTTCATTCATTCGTTTTTTGCATTCATTCATAGTTTTCTGTTTGAGAATATTGTCATAATCGATTCGATAAGCACACGGAAAAAGTGATGTTTTAGTGTGATTTTTGTTAGGAATTTTTAACAAAAATAGAATTATTATTATTATTTAATTTGTTTGACAATATTAAGTGCTTGTTTGTCAATTATATATTTTAGTCAAAAAGTCACTATAAATTGTCACATAACTCTCTCTATTTTTGTATACACCTTTTTGTAAGAAGTTAAAAAATTATTAAAATAATCTGTTTCCAAACGAGACATAATTATAATTTTAATCATTTCAATTACATGAGTATTATATATTATTATTGTAATATGTCATGTTTAATATATATTATAATAGAATTTTAATTCTTTCATCTATATATATATATACTTATATGAGTTGTGCAGGAATATATAGATGTGACGGTTTTTTATAGAGAAAACGAGACAAAGACAAGATGATTCGAGAGATAAAAAGTATTTTTGTAGGTAAGATAGTATAGAGATTTATATACTCAATAGAGGATTCTAAGAGTGTTGTTCATCTATTTTTATGTATTTTGTGCAACTCTAATTCATGATTTGGTTTAAACCTCTTACTGATCGTGAATACTAGATGAGGGACGCTGTGAGTGATTTGAATTTTATCTTAAATTGCTTCATTCCATTTGTTCCTTCATAAGGGGAGGAAAGTAGTTTTCAGACAGTGATACCGCGACTCTCAAAATGTCACAATTATATTTTCCTCTACTTTTGTTTTGTCTATATATTATTAACATTATTTATTGTCATTATTATAATATTCTATTAATTGTACTGCTAGACTAACAATTTGATCATTACATAAGCAAATGTCCGTCCATCACTTAAAAGAGGCAAATTCTATCTTAAGAAGAAAGTGTCCAATACTAGTCTCAACCATTCTCCAAACCAATATGTTTATTTACGTTATATTCCTATATAATTTGGTACTGTATTTCTAACATGCACACACACTATTCTGAATTTATAATATTTGTGTTTGAATCTGAAAATTTTGTTCAAAGAGAGAAATTTTTATTTTTGGCTAACTTTTGGAGCTTTGATGACACGCAAAAAGAGGTGAAACGAGGCGTATGAGGGGTGGAATAAAAACTAGGCTATGAGGTCAATCTAACGACGCAAAAATAAACCGAAACAGAGTTATGACGAGAGAGATGCAAGCGCTTGAACATATGTGTTTGAATTTGAGAATTTTGCCCAGATTCCGTTAGTTTAATCAAACGGATATAGACGGAGGGTTTATATTGAAATACGGAAGAAACTCCAAGGTTTAATTTGTCAAAATTGAAACTCTAAGATTTAAATTGAAAAACACGCGAAACCCTGATTTTTTCTTTTTTGTAATTTGCCCTATTAATTTTTATTCATTCATTTTCTATCTTACTAGTTAATAATAAGGGGTTAAAGATTAAAATTGTGCATAGATGGGATTTGATAATGCAGTTCGTCCTAAGTGGATGGGCTGGGCTGGTCCAAGCTCCTCAAGTTCCGATTTTGGCGGATGACTCCTCCAGATGACCTGCAAACAAGTCCAAAGGGGAACGGGGTAGTCCCCCAGTGAACCCTCCGGCGAGCGAATTAGTAGAGGAAGAAGGAAATATAGAGAGAGAGAGAGATAGAAAAGCTTAACCTTCCTATTGTCTTCCATTCTTACTTATATCCTTTGGTAATCATTTCACTGTCCCTTGTGACGTGCCCCCTTCCGCCGAAAGCCTGTGCCGTAACTTACCTTGTTCAGAGTGAGGGGGCTCTGTTCCGACGGGGAGGTGTTGTCGTAATAAATGCTGTGATGGGACGCATTAATGGTGATGTGTTGTGATAATAACTCTGCAGACTTTGGTCACATTTTAATATATTGTAAACGTTTTCCTAAGAAAGCACAGTGAAAGCGCTATTTCAAATAGCGTTTTCTTCCGAATACGAATGCACAGTGAAAGCACTATTTCGAATAGCGTTTTCTTCAAAAAAAAAAATTATGTTAAAAGCGTGATTTTCAACAGCGCTTTATTAATTAAAAGCAT